TAGGCAATGAGCGATCCTTATGCACTCTAGTAGTTGATCCCTGGGATACTCCTTCAGAGTCTGATAAGCATATTCTCTGTCATCAAACACTAGCAGAGATAAATACACAACTTCATCAAGATCCATCCTTCCCATGCAGCCACTTCTGGTCAGGATTGGCCTTGGTGTAATGTCAGGGCTCCCGGGTATGACCAGAGGTATGTGAGCTGACGCAGGGAAACGCAGGCTTCAGATGTTATAAACAATATAGTTTATTAACACTAACAATACATAAACGCAGTGCAATACTAAAACATAACACAGTGCAAATGAACCAAACCACCCACAGATAACAATACATACAATGCAAGCGTTGTCAGGCAGGCCGGGTCAATAACAATCGGGCAGGTAGGAACAGGCAGAGAGTAGTCAGTAGTCAGGTCACGAGCCGGGTACAGCAACTAACGGGCAGGTAGGTACAGGGGGTCACAAGCCAGGGATCAAACAGCACCCGCTGGCCAGCCCTGGTACTGCAGCCCACAGGGCAGGTGAGTCCCACCATTACTGGCAAGCCCATTCCTGACACCCTGGGACGAGGTTTAACCCTGGGCGAGAGATAGAATCCTCTGCATTGCTTTGCTGATTTCTTTCTGCGATCTTTTTCCTTCTTCCACTCAAGAGACCTTCGGTCTTGCTTCCTCCTCCCCGATATTCCTTCCTTCCCCGTTCCCCACATCCCACTCTTCCTTCCCTTTCCAGAATCTTACCATTTGCAGCGTAATGCTGATGACTTGCCAACATTCTCAGCCTATGTGGGGTTGTTTCCTCAAAAAGTTTTTTTTTTACCTCGGGATCAAGGTTCAAGGTTTTTGCTGATGCCTACCTGCAGGAGGTGTCCCAACCCAGCTGAGGCCCCTGGGACAAGGTTTGGCCCTGGGTGAGAGATAGAAACCTCTGCATTGCTTTGCTGATTTCTTTCTGCAATCTATTGCCTTCTTCCACGCAAGAGACCTTCGTTCTTGCTTCCTTCTCCCTTCCCCATTCCCCACATCCCACTCTTCCTTCCCTTTCCCAAATCTTACCATTTGCAGCGTAATGCTGATGACTTGCCAACATTCTAAGCCTATGTGGGGACGTTTCTTCAAAAGGTTTTTTTTTTGCCCTCAGGATCTCTTTGGCGATCCTGCCAATTTTACCTAAATTTCTCCTAATGTGTTGTGTTCCACCGCTTGAACCTCAAAACGTTTCTCCAGAAGTGCCATTTGCTGATCCTTTATACTTCTGTCTGTCTTCTCTGCTCCCTGACCTGAAGTCTACTCCGTTTCCATATGTTCTTCTCTGTGATCTGATTGGTCAGTGTTACTGCCGGCCTGGATGATGACCTGATATTTGATGTTCTACTTTGGCATTTACTGTATTATGCAACTTTTGGGTAAATAAAGGAATTTCCGAAAAAAAAAATCCCCACTGTAGCAATCGTGCACACAAAGATGGGTACGAACCTCCATTTTGGCAAAGGACTGTCCATTTTGTACAATTATCTCTCTCTCTCCCTCTTTCTTCATCCCCCTCCCTTTCTGTTGAGTGACATGTGGTCTGTTTTCAGAGTTAAAAAATGCATCGAAACCCAGTGGGAGGGCATCCTGGCTATAAAACCTCACCAGCTAGGTGCCCCCGTCTAAAAAACTCTTGCTATCTTGCTAGCAGGGATCGTAAAAGCGTAAAACAAGTCCGTCACTGAGTTCAAAGACATTCCAGAGAAGCCTCCACATTCAACATCCATTTTCCCCTATGATTTCATATCTTGGAATATGAGAGACTTACATAAAAACCAGGCATATTGTCAGATTGGTCACTTTGATACAAGTTTCCTGATATTTTACACCCCCTAGCTGGCATACATAGGAGGGCAGGAAAGTATATATCCTGAACCATTCAAGTGTATATGACGTTTGATCTCTAACCATTCCGCAGATGCGGCTGAGTATTAATATACTAGTACCCAGGCTGCCAATTCCCCCGAGAATGAGTTATGAATCATAATAGCAGCTATGAGAGTTTCTGGTCATAACTTAGGGCTCCACCTACACCTCCCTCCCCTAAACAGATGATTGGTTCACTGCTCCAGGGAGACACCCGGTGGAGATACTAGAAAAGCTAAGCTGAGTTAAGGGGTAGAAAGAAGAGTCTCCTGTTTTAACATTGAAACTGACAGTGAGAGACAAGAAATCCTTTTGGGCTCATAGAACTTAAATCTGCTTAAACCAAGTCTGACAGCAAGTACATTAACCCTTTAAACGTCTGTTACCTCTTTGCTGTGTTATTGTTCTCAGTATATTTATATATAGGCTACATCTTTTTCTGTAAATATTTTTATTGCACCCTTTTGACCTTTTACTCTTAATCTTACTTTCTGAAAGTGTTGAACTGTTTCTAAAGCTCTTTAATGCAAACATGAATTCCTGCCACTGAAGAGCACTACTGTGTGTGTGTTTTTTTAAACTTCAGTACATCTCTGCCTGCGGTGACCGTGGTATACAGACGATTATCCAACCATCATAGTGTTATTGCTGATATTGCCGAGTTTCCTCTTTCTCTGTACAAAAAGGTGGTGGTGGGAGTGTGAAGGGTTAATTGCATAATTAACCTGACCCAGGAACAATCGCTCCCAGGCTGCCGGTACATAGATTGTGGTCCATTAGCTGGAAAATTGTTGTGCAGGGTGCAGCTGGGCGAGGCATTGTTACACACGTAACATCGTGGCTTCAGATTGGCTAGTCCTTCAGTCACGAGTTTGGTGAGAAGGGCTGGGGTCTGACACCGTGATCGTCATACCCACAATGTACATTTATCACCCAGAGGATTTTTTATTTCAACAAGGGTGGAGTTACTCTTTGATATGTTGACGATGATTGGCTACATTGATTGGTTACAGCCAACCCTTTTTGCTATTTTAGCAGCTTGGCTCATTTCCTCCTTGCCCTTGCGTGGTCTATGATCTCCGGTGTGTTCCTGTGTACACCTCGATCTGGCCGACCTCTTACGATTTCCTGGTCCTGAGTCTTGGCTCCTGACTACGCTGACTTTGGGTTTCCTGACCCCGGCTCATCTGATTACCCACTCTGGCATCAAACCCTGGCTTCTGTTTTTGACTACGTTCCTGAACTGTGTTATTTTTGCTCTTTCATTAACTACCTGCCGACCGCAGATAGCCGAATGACGGCTGCACTGCGGCCGGCCAGTTCTGAGTGGACGTCATATGACGGCCTCCCAGAACGCGCTCTCCTGCGCGCCCCAGGGGGCGCGCACCCGGCGATCTCCGTGATCGTTGTGTCCTACGGACACAGCTGATCACGTGATGTGGTAAAAGGCCAATCACAGCGGCCTTTTACCACGTGATCAGTGGTGTCCAATGACACGCTGATCAGAGGGAAGTGCAAGTGCCGGTTCTCGGCTGCACTTTCCTCACGCTGTCAGATCGTGAGGAAAGTACTGCCGAGAACCGGCAGTTGTCAGAGCGGGGATCGGCACCGATCATCAGGGCACTGATGATCAGTGCCCTGATGATCAGTGCCCAGCAGTGCCACCCGCAAGTTCCGCCCACCTGTGCCCAGCAGATCACCCACCTGTGCCCAGCAGTGCACCCACCTGTGCCACTCTGCAGTGTCACACACCTGTGCCCAGAAGTGCCACCTACCTGTGCCCAGCAGTGCCACCCACCTGTGCAGCCCAGCAGTGCTGCCAGTCAGTGCCCAGGGGTTGTGCCAGTCAGTGCCGCCAGTCAGTGCCCAGCAGTGATGCCAGTCAGTGCCGTCTATCAGTACCCATTATCAGTATCACCTATCAGTGCTGCATATTAGTGCCGCCTATCCGTGACACCTCATTAGTGCTGTCTATCAGTGCCGCCTATCCGTGCCACCTCATTAGTACTGCCTATCAGTGCCCTTTAGTGCTGCCTATCAGTGCCCATCAGTGCCGCCTCATCAACGCACATCAGTGAAGGAGAAAAAATACCTGTCTGAAAAATTTTATAATAGAAACAAAGAAACTTTTTTTTTTTTTTTCAAATTCTTTGCAGTTTTTTTATTTATAGCGCAAAAAGTAAAGCGCCCAGTGGCGATTAAATACCACCAAAAGAAAGCTCTATTTGTGAGAAAAAAATGATCAAAATTTCATATGGGTACAATGTTGCATGACCGCGCAATTGTCAATCAAAGTGCGGCAGCGCTGAAAGCTGAAAATTGGCCTGGTAAATAAGGGGGTATAAGTGCCTGGTAGGCAAGTGGTTAAAGGTGTGATTTTTTACTGCACTTTCTGTCTCCACCGGGTTCAAGGTTCCTGACACCAATGTACGGGACCACTACAATGACCATTGATATAAGGGGGTCCTTCTCCCATTGGTCACCAATGTAAGGGACCACTACACTGACCACTGATAAAAGGGGGTCCTTCTCCCATCAGTCACCAATATAAAGGAGATGCAGACTCTTCAACAAAAGGTAGGATCATCAGCTCCATCTAGTGGCTATAATGAGGTATTTTCCCCAATCTACTCCATCAGGAAGAATGTCCCATTATGGCCGCTAGATGGAGCTGATGAACGTAGGAAATGACTGTATTAGGAAAAAAAACAGACTTTGTCACAGCTGAGCGAACATTCGTCCAACATATTTTTTATTATAAATAAACCCCTAAATGTTTACACCATAAAATGTCTTCAGCCAATGACAGGTGAGGATGCCATTTTTATTCTTCTCCTGCCATCAATGGCCAGCATGGTCCCACACTTCATCCACGTCTTTGGTGACCTCTGACCTCCTTATGAACTGTTTCTTCCATGATGAAGATCAGCCATGGAGTATATCTGAGGTGTATATCAGGGGGTGCTTCTTCCCCACATGAGAGCTGGGATGTCCAGCAACATTCATCTAGAAAAACATTTCCCGCACTCAAGGCACTAATACACCTCCAGGGTTGTGTGGGACCCCAGGAAGAGAGGACTTCATTTAGGAACATTTCCCTCACTCAGGAGAGGAACGTGACTTCTCTCCCGTGTGGGATTTAAGATGTGTGTCAAGAAGTGACTTCTGTGAAAAACGTTTCCCGCACTCAGGACAGGAACGTGACTTCTCCCTCGTGTGCCATCTCTGATGTTTATAAAGACTGGAAGTCCTTGAAAAACATTTCCCGCACTCAGGACAGCAATACGGCCTTTCGCCCGTGTGAGTTCTCTGATGTCTGTCAAGATCACACTTCTGGGAAAAGTATTTCCCGCACTCAGGACAGGAATACGGCTTCTCCCCCTTGTGAGACTTCTCATGTTTGACTAGGGAGGATTTATGAAGAAAACATTTCCCGCACTCAGGACAGGAATACGGCTTCTCGCCCTTGTGAGATTTTCGATGTTTGCATAGGGAAGATTTATAAAGAAAACGTTTCTCGCACTCGGGACAGGAATAGGTCTTCTTATCCAAGTGCAAAATCTGATGTCTATAAAGACCGGACTTCTCTGAAAAACATTTCCCGCACTCAGGACAGGGATACGGCTTCTCCACCGTGTGAGATCTCTGATGTGTGTACAGATGGGACGCCTGTGGAAAACAATTCCTGCGCTGCTTTTCCCCTGTGTGGAGCCTCTGATGTCTGCAGAAATTGGAGCTGATTGAAAAACATTTCCCGCACTCAGGACAGGAATATGGCTTTTCCCCCGTGTGAGATCTTTTATGCACATTAAGATGGGATTTAGAACGGAAACATTTCCCGCACTCAGGACAGGAATACGGCTTTTCCCCCGTGTGAGATCTTTTATGCACATTAAGATGGGATTTAGAATGGAAACATTTCCCGCACTCAGGACAGGAGAACTTCTTCTTTTTTGGAAGGACGGCCTGGTCCCGCACCGTCTGAGGTTCCTTACGACAGGAATTTAGCTTCTCAGCCATGTGAGTTTTCTGATGTCGGTAAAGATGGTACTTTACTGAAAAACATTTCCCGCACTCAGAACAGGAATATGGCTTCTCCCCTGTGTGAGATCTCTGATGATTTTGAAGACTAAACTTCTTTGAAAAACATTTCCCGCACTCAGGGCAGGAAAATGGTTTCTCCCCTGTGTGAGATCTTTTATGTTCATCAAGTTTGTATTTAAACCGGAAACATTTCCCGCACTCAGTACAGGAGAACCTCTTCTCTGTTGGAAGGACAGCCTGATCCCGCACAGTCTGAGGTTCCTCAGGACAGGAATTCAGCTTCTCAACCGTGTGAGTTTTCTGATGTCTGTAAAGATGGGACTTCACTGAAAAACATTTCCCGCACTCAGGACAGGAATACGGCTTCTCCCCCGTGTGAGTTCTTTTATGCATATTAAGATTATATTTGAAACGGAAACATTTCCCGCACTCAGTACAGGAGAACCTCTTCCCTGTGTGAAGGCCGGCCCAGTCCCGCACAGTCTGAGGTTCCTCAGGATACGAGGAATCCGATGGTCCATCTACACTGGGTGGTGCCGGATGGACATTGGAGGGAGCCGGGTTTTCTCCTGGACTATACTGTGTGATGTCGTCATCTTCTACTTTCCAGTCTGGAGACAAAGTGAGACAATCCTCAGAGGTTTTCCTCATCTCCCGGCCATGGACTAAAATACAAAGATAAAGAGGATTACTAGACAGGAGCTGATTGGTTCCCCCAAACCAGGACTGGCTGAGCCCCACCAGAGGTCAGAGAGTGAGGATGGGGGGGGGGAGGACATCCAAGAGGAAGACTGGACTCATCCTGAAGACCACCATCATTGGGGTATCGGCTCCTTCCCCATCCTCATCCTGAAGACCACCATCATTGGGGTATTGGCTCCTCCCCCCATCCTGAAGACCACCATCATTGGGTTATTGACTCCTCCCCCATCCCGAGGACCACCATCATTGGGGTATTGGCTCCTCCCCCATCCTGACCCTGAAGACCACCATCACTGGGGTATTGGCTCCTCCCCATCCTGAAGACCACCATCATTGGGGTATTGGCTCCTCCCCCATCCTGAAGACCACCATCATTGGGGTATTGGCTCCTCCCTCATTATCACTTTCTGGTTGGAGGATTTGATCACATTATCACCATGTAACAGTCTGTGCTTTAATCACATCATCCGATATAAAATGTCCAGCTGGTAGGAAATGGGGGGAACAGAGAAGACATATGTATGACACTGGGACTGGTGTGGGAGCCATCGGGAACACTGCTGCCTTATACTGCTCTGGTGACACTGGGACTGGTATGGTGGTGGACTGGTGACACTAGGACTGGTGTGGTGACAATCAGGGACACTGTTGCTGGCTTACACTGGTCTGGTGACACTGGGACTGGTGTGGTGATCAGGGACGTGGTGGCTGGCTTACACTGGACTGGTGTCACTGGGACTAGTATGGTGCTGGACAGATGTCACTGCGACTGGTGTGGTGGTGATCAGGGACACTGTTGCTGGCTTACACTGGTCTGGTGACACTGGGACTGGTGTGGTGATCAGGGACGTGGTTGCTGGCTTACACTGGACTGGTGTCACTGGGACTAGTATGGTGATGGACAGATGTCACTGCGACTGGTGTGGTGGTGATCAGGGACACCGTTGCTGGCTTACACTGGTCTGGTGACACTGGGACTGGTGTGGTGGTGATCAGGGACACGGTTGCTGGCTTACACTGCTGCTGGCTTACACTGGGACAGGTGTGGTGATTAGGGACATGGTTGCTGGCTTACACTGGTCTGGTGACATTGGGACTGGTGTGGTGATCAGGGACATGGCTGCTGGCTTACACTGGTCTGGTGACATTGGGACTGGTGTGGTGATCAGGGACATGGTTGCTGGCTTACACTGGACTGGTTTCACTGGGACTAGTATGGTGGTGGACAGATGTCACTGGGACTGGTGTGGTGGTGATCAGGGACACTGTAACCGGGGGGGGGGGGGGGGGAAAGCACAGCAGCCCAGAACTGGGATCAGTGATCTGTTGTGTCTGGTGATGACACTGATCACTCGATCGCTCCAATGAACGGTCCCAGGGACAGATCTGGAAGGACATGCAGGTCCTGTCTGGTCATTCATACGCAGTGATTGGGCGGTTAAAGGTTTCCCATCTCTTTGAAGATCACTACTACAGTGCAAATCTTTGAAACATTCCTGTGTGCATGACAGCGAGCATTACAGACGACTCCCAGCAGTCAGACTTGTTGCAGTGATTATTATGGGATCTGACACTGACATTCATCTCCTTCTCTTAGAAAGCCGGCCCTGAGCATAAAACTGAGGGATCCATTAATGGCTGGTGGAAATATTGGGGACCGAAGCATCCAGGTCCCAACCTGCTGGGTGAGGAATGCAAATGGTCGCACTAGATCAGCAGCAAGGAATCCTCACATATATTCTGTAGACTTTGTTTGGATACAATCTGTGGAGCACAATGGGGATTTATCTTCACAGGACGCTAGTATGGCGCAGGACTTCGATGTTTCTGAGATCAGGGACTGGGCTTCTTATAAATCATCCTTCTTGTTGCCGAGTGACACCGAGAGCTGTGCTCGCTGATTCCTGATCACTGGGATACAGAGGACAGAGCTTTGTGTGATCAGAAATCCAATCTGGATCTATAGCACAGGGCGGGGGGGAGATCTGATAGAAAAGAAGATCTAAAGTTTAGATGGAGACCAGAGGAACGTGACCATCACCTGGGTATTACAGGCCGATATCACCCCGCCCCCACCCTACTCTGCACCAATCAATGAGCAGTATGGGTGGAGGAATGGATTTAGTGTTCATGACCCACCTGTGCTGATCTCTGTAGGAGTGTCCTCCTCTATAAATGTCCCCGTTATTCCATCCTCCTCCATAGACTGCTGATCATCCCTCACATACGCCTCTTCTTCTTCTGATTTCACCTCAAATTTTATATCTATCAGATCTTCACCCTAAATCAAGAGGAGAGAAAATATCATCTTGTAAGGTCTATAGATCTTGTCCATGATCTCACTCCATGGTCTAGATCAGTGATGGCGAACCTATGGCACGCAGAGCCACTAAGTGGGCACGCCAGGAAGAAGAGGAAGAACGTGCTCTCCTGCGCTCCCCCGGGGGGCGCGCACCGGGCGATCTCCGTGATCGCTGTGTCCTACGGACACAGCTGATCACGTGACATGGTAAAAGGCCAATCACAGCGGCCTTTTACCACATGATCAGCCGTGTCCAATGACACGCTGATCACCGGGAAATGCAAATGCCGGTTCTCGGCTGCACTTTCCTCACGCTGTCAGATCGTGAGGAAAGTACTGCCGAAAACCGGCCGTTGTCAGAGCAGGAAACGGCACCGATCATTAGGGTCACTGATCATCAGTGCCCTGATGATCGGTGCCCAGCAGTGCCACACACAAGTTCCGCCCACCTGTGCCCAGCAATGCGCCCACCTGTGCCCAGTAGTGCCACCCACCTGTGCCAACCCACCAGTGCCACCCACTTGTGCCCACCAGTGCTGCCAGTCAGTGCCACCAGTCAGTGCTCAGCGGTTGTGCCAGTCAGTGCCCAGCAGTGATGTCAGTCAGTGCCACCTATCAGTGCTGTCTATCAGTACCCATTATCAGTGTCCCCTATCAGTGCCACCAATCAGTGCCACCTATCTGTGACACCTCATTAGTGCTGCCCATCAGTGCCACCCATCAATGATGCCCAGCAGTGCCGTCTGTCAGTGCCTCCAGTTGGCGCTATCAGTCAGTGCCGCTTGTCAGTGCCCACCATTTCCTGCATATCAGTGCATCATCAGTGCCTCCTCATCAATGCTCACCAGTGCCGCCTCATCAGTGCTACCTATCTGTGCCACCTCATCAATGCCGCCTATCAGTGCAGCCTCACCAACGCACATCAAAGAAGAAATATTACCTGTTTGCAAACTTTTAGAATAGAAGCAAAGAAAACCTTTTATGTTTTAAATTTTTTGCTCTTTTTTCATTTATAGTGCAAAAAATAAAACACCCAGTGGTGAATAATTACCACCAAAAAAGCTCTATTTGCGTGAAAAAATGATAAAAATTGCGTATGGTTACAGTGTTGCATGACCGCACAATTGTCATTATTAAGTGCAACAGCACTGAAAGCTGGAAATTTGTCGTGGGCAGGAATGGGGGTAGAAGTGCCCGGTAGGCAGGAAGGGGGTAGGCAGGAAGGGGGTAGAAGTGCCCGGTAGGCCCGGTAGTAGAAGTGCCCGGTAGGCAAGTGATTAATTCCAGTGTTGGCACTTTGCAACACAAAACCAACTTTTTTATTTCAGTTTGGGCACTCGGGCTCAAAAAGGTTCGCCATCACTGGTCTAGATGCTCCATTCCACAAACCTTGTAACAGTGAGGGATGGTGTGACCTTCCTGTGTGGAATCCCAGGAATACAGAGGACGGGGGCATCTCTCTGGTGGGTTCCTGGTATTAGGTGGCTCCATCATATCCTTGTGTCCTTCTGAAAACTCCTCCATCACACCATACTCCTCATCCTCCTCTTTATACTCTTCTTTAACAACAATATTATAATTCTCAAGGTTTCCACTCTGAAAATATAAAACATGATTTATATACAGCATGTGAGTTACAAGAAATAACTATCAATAATTGTTCCTCACCTACCTGACGATGGTGAGGGATGGTGTGACCTTCCTGTGTGGAATCCCAGGAATACAGAGGACGGGGACATCTCTCTGGTGGGTTCCCATGACTGGACCCATCTACCTGATGGTGAGGGATGGTGTGACCTTCCTGTGTGGAATCCCGGGAATACAGAGGACGGGGACATCTCTCTGGTGGGTTCCCATGACTGGATCCAACTGTAGGAAACACACACACTGACTGAATCCATTGTTTCTATGTGTTTATCAGATGATGGGGGATCTAGGTGGACCCTCCGTACTGCTCTCTCCTTTCCAATAAAGTCTCCTCTTACCCGGTGATGTGAGGGGCGGCTGATTGTCCATCATGACGTCCTTGTAGAGGTCCTTGTGTCCTTCTAAATACTCCCACTCCTCCATGGAGAAATAGACAGTGACACCCTGACACCTTATAGGAACCTGACACACACAATGATACAGTCACCA